AAGGGCAGGGAAGCCTGCACATGGCCAGGTGGGGTCAAAAGGAGCTGAGCGAAGGCCTCTGCTGGATCTCAGGCCTGCAAGCTGGGCCCTTGCTATGCCACACCTACTGGCTGTCATCTTCATTCCCCGAAATCTAAGATTTCCCCCTTAAAATACAGATTTGGGATGTGGGGATCGGTCTGGCCGGCCAGTCTGGCTCGGGTGGACATGAAGGACAGCCTAAGTCACCCTGGGGTCCTGGAGCTGCCTTTGAGGCAGAAATACAGAGCATCTTCGAGCACTTTTGCTCTGTCTGGGGGAAGGTGGGCAAAATGCTCAAAATAGAGTAAAAGCAAGGGTCAGGACCCAAACGGGTCTCATTCCCTGTTTCTCTGGACTCTCTGCTGGGTGCCTGTGTGCAGGATTTCTGCAGAAGATAGTCCATTTTGTTAAGCCTTTGAATATTCAAATTGAAAGTACCGCGCAATCATTGATTGTCAAATCATGGGTTTCTAGAGGTTTTAAATACTTGGCATGAGGGGGAAAAAACTCAAACCTATACCCGAAGGTATAAAACATTAATTCTGTTTGTCTTCTGCTCCAGGAACCTGGATGCAACTGAATGCTTTGTGAAACTTTAAAAATGTTGCATCTCTGCTTCTCTCCTTGCACAGGAGTCCTCCTAGGCGCTGAGTCCCTGCAGCTGCTGCATCCAGCCACAGACCCAGCTCCTGCTGACCAGCATGTCCGGTAACTCAGCTGCTTCTCCGGGGTAGAGTCACGCGGGCCAGGGGCATTTTGGTCTGGGTGTATTTTCACCGCTTTTCCTGCACAGAACAGAGAGGCACAAAGTCAGAGCATACAAGGGTGTGCCGGGGATCCGGAGAGGGCACGGGCCACACTGTGGCCGCTCCCACTCGGCGCCTGCTCCCCAGAGCAGAGGCCCAGATGCCCAGTTAGCTGCTGCGGACGTCTGCGTACCCCGATCCCGGCCCCCCACCCGCCCTTCCATTTTGCCACAGTTGTGACCCGGGGACTTCGCGGCCCGGAT